TCATGTACATATCTATCTGTAACTATCTATGTATTATCTATATATAATTTCTTATATTTTCTATCATGCAACTATCTATCTATAAATCATCTATACCACCTTTCACTCTCACCTATGTTTTACTTATTTTAGAGAGAAAAGAAGAAGGAAGAATAGAGGGAGAGAGAGAGAAAGAGAGAGAAACATTGACCAGCTCTGTCCTGCAACCCAACCCCCTAGCCCCCATCCCTGCATTACTGAGGATGAAGCCTGCAACCCAGGCATGCTCCCTGATCTGAATTTAACCAGACACTAGACCTCTTGGTGTCTGAGAGGATGTTCAACCAGCCACACAAGCTGGGTGGTCCCCTTTGCTACCCTTCCACTCCATTCCCTCTGGCAATAACCATGCTGTTGTCTGTGTCTATGAGTTTAAGTTAATATCCCACCTATGAGAGAATTATATAGTTCTTAGCTTTTCCTGACTGACTCATTTTGCTCAGCATAATATTCACAAGTCCAATAACATTGTTACAAACTGCAGTATTTCATCTTCCCTCATGGCTGAGGAGTATACAATACAATATGTAGAAAATGTATCGTAAAAATGTTCATTTGAAACCTATATAATCTTATTAACCAATGTCACCTCAATACATTTAATTTAAAATAGCATAGGTCCTCCTTTTTTAAAATGTGCATGGTATTCCATTGTGTAAATGCACCACAAGTTTTGTATCCACTTATCTATTGTTGGGCACTTGGGCTGTTTCCAGATATTAGCTATTGTAAACAACACTGCTATGAGCACAGGGGTGAATTTATTCTTTCTGCCTGGTATATCAGGCTTCTTAAAATATATTCCTAGGAGTGAGACCGATGGGTCAAATGGAAGTTCCATTTTTAATTTTTCATGGTGAGTGAACCAAGCCAGTCAGAGGAAGACAATTATTTATTGACCTCATTCATATGTAGAATCTAATGAACAGAAGAAGCTGATGAATAAAATAGATCCAGAGATAGAACCATGGAACAGACTGATGAGTCTCAGGCAAAGGGGGTCAGGGATCAAACCAGACAAAACAAAGTATTTATATGCAAAAACCATGGACACAGATTATAATGCAGTAAAGGCCTGGATTGCGCATGGGTGCATGTTGGATGGGGTCCATGGGGAAAAGAAAGAAACATCTGCAATATTTCAAACAAAAAAGGATAAGTTAGAAGAAAAAAAAAGCCATGTAGGCCAGGTGGCACATTTTAGGCATTAGCCCTTCAGACCTCCAAGAGAACTCATTAGTACAGAGTTAATTCACTGTGATGTTGGGACATTGTGCCAGATTCTGCAGGAGATGGACACACTCCATCATTCAGTAGACAATACAGCCAGCACCTATTTTCCTCTGGTTATCCACCCCTCAAGTCCACACTGTCTTTAGACAACATGAGTGTCCTCGGTGTTTGTCATGATGCTCAGGTGTGGGGGGGAGGTTCTCATCTGAGTCTGGGGAGAGACCTCTCGTCGCTGTAGCAGGTCTCTGCCAACACCACCACCAGGGCCAAGAGAACCAGGGCAGCCAGATAAAGCCGGACTTGGTTCACTTGGGACACACTCCCACCAGTAGGTCCTGAGAGAGAAAAAAACAGAGGTCACAGATTTGGAGCCAAAGGCCCTCGCAGGAAGATGCCCTTAACCTGAGCTCCTGTCTCCAGTCTGATGGAACTAGGAGATCGGTGCACAGCCACCTTCTGCATAAGCAATATGTGCCTTCTTTCCTGATGTCATTATGAGCCCTGTGGTGATTTCCATAAGGAATTCTGGGTCATAAAAGTCAGGGATGGGGACTGGGTAGGAAGCTTTAAATCTTCTCCCTCAGAGCTCCGCTGGGTCCTTCTTTGGGACCCCCATCTGCAAACTTTAGACTCAGCAGATGGAGGATGGCCTCCCTGGTCCTCTGTGGGCACTAAAGCTTCTCTCTCCCTCGTTCCCTTTGCACCTCATCTTCCTTCACCTTTCCTGCTCCTTCTGCAAAGAATACCAGTTGGTGCTCTTCATGCAGACAGCCCTCCTCTGTCCTTCCCTTTCCTCTCCATCTCCCTTTTCCTTTCCTACTTTTTTCACCTGACCATTAGCTTCCTAACTGCCAGGTTTAAAGGGCCCATGCTTTACCTCCATGACGTGTTTCCTAAGACCCTTCTTCTAGGATTTACTTATTCTACCTCTGTAATGTATCCAGGAAATGGTTTAATTACAGTAAAAAAAAAAAAAAAAAAAAAAAGACTACCGTTACTCAACAAGGATATGGCTGGGTTCTGTGGGATTAGGATTGTCAGCAGCTTCTGCAAATGGGGAGGAAATGGGGTTGTTCCTTTATCTGTGCTCAGGATCTCTCTCCTCAGACTCACAACGACCTGCATGCTCTGCCAGGCCCTGGGCATGTGTCAGAGGCCTGCATGGTGAGTGAGTGCTGAGGACCTCATAGCTTGGGTGGAAGCCGGTGGTGAAGATATAGCTTCCCACCAGGCAATGCTCTAAGCGGACAGTGTCATCTTGAGAAGGGAATGTAAGGATGGACCGGCTTTCTCACCTCTGACCTCAAGCTGCAATGGCTCGCTGGGGTCAGACCACACATTGGGGTCTTGGCTGAGGGCACCGTAGCACCTGTAGGTCCCTGTCTCTGTGGAGGTGACACGGTCCAGGTGGAAGGTGGTCTGCTGTCCATTGTCCTGGGCTGTGGAGCTTTTTCTGTGGGTGAACTGAGGTGCATCTTCTTTGGTGAGAATAAATGCTTCAAACTTGATTCTGGAGAAACACTGTAACCTCACATTGTGTCCTGAAGCCACCACCGTGCCACTCATGCTGGAGAGTGTGGGTTTGTCATAAGATCCTGAGAAAGAAGGAAGTTGCAGATAAAGAGGAGGCCACTTCCCTTCCTGTTTCCAGGAGAAGATGTGGCTTTGGTGTCTATCCCTTCCATGTCCTGCCCTGAGGGAATGTGTCTCTACATCATCCCTTATGCCTTCCTAGAGGTAGAGGCTTTGCTGCTCCATATCTCAGAGCCTGGTCCTCCCCTCTGCAAAGCGGACCCTCCTGGTCCTGCTGCCTTGGTCCCACTCAACTGTCATCAGTAGATGCAGGGGGTCACTGAGCTGGGACCAATGTCCTCCACTTTTATAGGAACAGCGGTACAGTCCTGGTCATTCTTGTTTCATCTCTTGGATATATGGAGTGTCAGTCATCCCAGTCATTGGTATTTCCCTTCTGTCCCTATGCTCATATTCTTCCACTTTATATGTCTTGTGGGCTTCAGCATCTGGAGGCCCTTGGCACAGATTAATCACTGGTTCCTCATATAGAACCATGGATCCAGGCTGAGCTGTGATAACAGGTATGTGTGGGTGTAATACCCTAGGAAATCAGGTAATAAATTTACAGGTGTATCTGCTTCTCATACCACCCTCCACTTCGTTACCTTTTACAGTCACAAGTTTAAATTCCAGGACCCCTCTTCCCAGCCCCCAAGAGAGCTGACATTTGTTCAAATCCTACTGAGTCCTTGAACATTAAAATGACACTCACCATTCTGAGCCTGAGTGTTCTGGGCTAGATTTAAGCCTGGAAGGAAATATTGGGGGAGAACAGCTCACTCTTTTTTTTTTTTTTTTAAATTATTGATTATGGTATCACAGAATTGTCCTCATCCCCCCATTTCCATCCCAAACCCCTCCTCACATATGCCCCCTGTTGTCCATGGCCACTGGCTAGGCCCATATGCATGCACACAAGTCCTTTGGTTGATCTCTTCCCCTTATCCCCATCCTCCCCTACTTTCCCTCTGAGGTTTGAAAGTCTGATGGCTGCTTCTCTTTCTCTGGATCTGTTTTTGTTAATCAATTTATGTTGTTCATGATTTCCTCTAGATGTGTGAGATCATGTGATCCAAGTAATACCCTTGTAAGAACCGAAACTGAGAGAACAGCTCACTTTTAAAAATTTTTAAAAAAATTTCAATTATAGTTTACATTCACTATAACTTTGTATTATTGTCAGATGTATAGGATATGGGTCAGATAATCGTATGCTTCAAAAAGTGTTTCCCCTTGCTATTTCTAGGAGGCCTGCATGGTGAGGTGCTCTTGGCTTTTGTGGAAGCAGATGGTGTAGCCAAGGACTTCCCACCACAGTCTTCTCCTTCCTCCAGTCAGTCCCTACCTGGACAGTGTCATCTCCAGAAGGGGATGTGGGGATGCACCAGTTCCTCACCTGTGACCTCAAGCTGCAATGGGTCGCTGGGGTGAGACCACACATCGGGGTCTGTGTTGAAGGATCCATAGCACCTGTAGGTCCCTGCCTGTGTGGAGGTGACATGGTCCAGGTGGAAGGTGGTCTGTTGTCCATTGTCCTGGGCAGTGGAGCTTTGTGTCCTGGTGAACTGAGGTGCCTCTTCTTTGGTGAGAATAAATTTATCAAACTTGATTCTGGAGAAACACTGTAACTTCACATCATGTCCTGAAGCCACCACCTTGGCATTCATGTTGGAGAGTGAGGGTTTGTCATAAGATCCTGAGAAAGAAGGAAGTTTGCTTTTAAAGGGAAAGTGACATCCATGTGCTGTCCCTTCCTGTTCCCAGGAGCTAACGGGGCTCTGGCTTCTATTTCCTCCATCTCCGCCCTGAGGGAATGTGTCTCTACATTAGGGGTGTCGAACTCAATCAGAGAAGGGGCCAAAATCTAAAATCCAGCCTAAATCGCGGGCTGAATGATTTACTGAACAGTCATAAACTGTCATTGTGATGGAAACGCAGCGGAGTGCAGTGATGACAGCGCGGTGCGGGCCACATTGCAAGGCCTGGCGGGACGGATTTGGCCCGCGGGCCTTGTGTTTGACACATGTGCTCTACATTATCCATGAGGCTTTCCTAGAGGTAGAGGCTTTGCTGCTTCCTGTTCTGTATCTCAGAGCCTGGTTCTCCCTCTGCATAGCGGTCCCCACTGGCCCTGCTGCCTGGGTCCCACTCACCTGTCATCACTAAACGCAGGGGGTCACTGAGCTGTGACTTGTGTTCTCCACTCTGATAGAAACAGCAGTACAGTCCTGTCCGGTCTGGTTTCATCTCTTGGATATATAAAGTGTTGGTCTTCTCAGTCTTCGGTAATGTTCTGAAGGTCGAAGGCGGAACTGCTTCCAGTTTGTATATCTTGTAGGCTGCAGCATCTGCAGGCCCTTGGCACCGGATAGTCACTGGTGTATTATGTAGAACCATGGGTCCAGGATAAGCTGTGATAACCGGTGGGGGGAGATTTCCTAGAAGAAGCGGTAATAAATTTACAGGTGTATCTGCTTCTCATGCCCCCTCCACTTCCTTCCCTTTTACAGCCATGAGTTTAAATGCCAACACCACTCTTCCCAGCTACCAAGAAAGCTGATATCTGGCCAAGCTCTACTCAATCCTTGGACATTGAAAGGATACTCACCATTTTGAGCCTGAATGCTCTGGGCTACATACAACCCTGGAAGGAAATGTTGGGCGAGAACAGCTTTTAAAAAAAGTTTTTATATTATCAATTACAGTTTACATTCAATATCTCTTGTATTATTTTCTGGTGTATAAGCTAGTGGTTGTATAATCATACACATAATAAAGTACTTCTTCTTGCTATGGCCAGTACCCTCCTGGCACCATACAACATATAGATGTTTCAATATTATTGACTATATTCTCTAAGCTGTACTCTATGCCTCCAGGAGTATTCTGTAACTCCCAATCTATAATTCTCAATCCCTTCACCCTTATACCCAGTCCCCATACACTCTCCTCTGGCAACCATCAGTCTCTGTGAGTCTGTGACTGTTTTGTTTGCTCATTCATATTGGAGAACAGCCCAGCCTTATGGAACCACAGACCTGCTCCTGTAGGTTGTGTTTGCACCCCGACCCTTCTACCCACACTCACCGAGATAGAGCAGAGTGGGAAGAACCAGGGACATGATTCTGGGTCCTCTCTGGCCTGTTGTCCTCAGAGATGCTGCCTGTATGCGGAAGGGACTTCTCTGAAAATCACACCAAGCAACAGGAAGTGGTGGGAGGGCCTTGGTTCTTATCTCCAGAGTGAAGGCATTTCACCATCTCTTCTGCTAAGCTTTGCAGAGGCAGCTGCTGAGATTATGATGTTAGTCATCTGAACTTCAAACCTCCATCAGCCCTGCTTGGTCTCTATTTTCTGTCCCCAATTCCTCATGACATTTAATCTTTCTGTATAAAGTGAGCAGGAAGAGGGATCACAGATGAAGAACAAGACAGAAGTAGTTCCCAGTCTGAGATCAGCTCTGAAATAATTTGTGAGCTCATGGCTCCTGCTACTATATGCTGAACTTCCTTCGATTCAAGTACAAAATTGGTCAATAATTGTGTCTTTCTGCAAAGCTGTACTCACAGCATGTGCATGTGGCCCAGAGCAGAACCAACTAGAGAGGCAATGGCATAATGATTAGTTCTTTGTTTGCTGTGCATGTGCCCACCATGCTGATAGCACTGACTCTGTCCATGGGTGAAAATGATGAACCTAAGCAAGGTAATTACACTGGGTTTTGTCAGCCTTTGTTTCTTTTATTTTTGGTGATAGAGGAAAGAGGTTTATTCGAGTGCTGGCTTCTCTTTACTCTCGGTGTTTATTAAAAATATGTTTTTATTGATTTCAGAGAGGAGAAGGGGAGGGGAGAGAGAGGTAGAAACATATATGATGCCAGGAAATTGTTGATTGGCTGCCTCCTGCATGGCCCACATAGGGGATCGAGTCCACAATCCAGGCATGTGTTCAGACTGGGAATAGAACTGTGACCTTCTGGTTCATAGGTCAATGCTGAACTCTTTAGCCCCGTGGGCTGGGCATTGCCCCTTTGTTTTTAAACCATCTCACTGGCTGACCCTTACTGACTAGCTATGCCACCCACTCTTCTCAATCAACATAAAACATAGATTTAAATCTTCCCCTCTCTACACCCACATGATTCACTCTCAAATCTGATGATACGTAACAGCTGACCTTTACTGGGTTTTCATTTTTTATCCAGATACTGTGAGGAAAGTTGCCCATAATCTTCACAGGAACTGTGGTGGATTGGGTTAATATTCCAAGTTATTTGGTCATGTGTTCCATCATCAGACCCTGGGGACACTGTAGACCACATGTGTCAAACACAAGGCCTTCGGGCCAAATCCGTCCCGCCAGGGCTTGCAATGTGGCCCGCACCGCGCTGTCATCACTGCACTCCACTGCGTTTCCATCACAATGACAGTTTATGACTGTTCAGTAAACCATTCGGCCCGCGATTTAGGCTGGATTTTAGATTTTGGCCCCTTCTCTGATTGAGTTTGACACCCCTACGTAGACAATGATAAATCCCTCCTGGTTCTTCAGGTTTAGAAATATCTCCTGCTGCTTCTAGGGTTTCCCTGTGGTTGTGGGGTTTCAGTGAATATACATCTAAACTTAACCCCAGCATCAGCACAACCGGTTCAATTAGCTGAGGTAGTGAGTCCCTGTGTTTGTGCCATTGGTGCATGGCCTGGACAAAAAGCAGAGGGTGTAAGTGCAGATAATCACAGATGAGAAATGAGAGTTTTCTCAGGATTAAGAAGATAATGGAAGATTCCAACTTTGAGGAGGAGGAGATAGGTCAAAAACGGTAAATAAGATTATATTTACTTTGACACTGGTGCAAAATATGCCTTTGTGTTTTTCTGTCTCTTTGTCTACCTATGTTTTATCATGTATATTTCCATCTGTTTCTAATATGTATCTATTTATAATGTATTATATTTATCTATCATCTATTTTAGTTATCTTTGTATGTATGTTTGTATGTATGTATGTATGTATGTATGTATCTATCTATCTATCTATCTATCTACCTATCAATCATCATTCATACCAGCTTTTTCTCTCTCATCTACATACTTTCTGTCATTTTTATATCTATGTCTAACTATTTATTGTCTATATATAATTTATTATATTTCTCTATCATCCAACTATCTATGAATCATCTGTACCACCTTTCTTTCTCTGCTATGTTTTATTTATTTTAGAGAGAAAAGAAGGAAGAGGGAAAGAGAGAGAAACATTGAGCAGCTCTGTCCTGCTCCCTTCCTTCCTACTGGGGATCAAGCTTGCAATTCAAGCTTGTGCCCTCACCTGGAAATGAACCAGAGGCCTCTTGGTGCCTGAGATGATGGTCAACCAAGTGAGTCATAGCATCCGTCAATAACTTTATTCTTCACTTTTGGGGAGCCTACATACACACCCAAAGTCAAATCCTCTAAGGTCACCATCTGTTTGGTCCCATTTATCCTTTTCTAAAAAAAGTTATATTTTTATTGATTTCAGAAAGGAAGGCAGAGTGAGAGAGAAAGATAATAACACTAATGGTTAGAGAGAATCTCCAGCATGTCCCACACTGGAGATGGAGCTTGCTAACTAGGCATGTGCCTTGATAGGGAATCAAACCATGACATCCTGGTTCATAGGTTGATGCTCAACCATAGAGACACAACAGCTGGGTGGTCCCCTTTACTACCTTTCCACTCCGTTTCATCTGGCAATAACCATACTGTTGTCTGTGTCTATGAGTTTCAGTTTTATATCCCACGTAGGAGTGAAATTATATGGTTCTTAGCTTTTCCTGACTAATTTTTCTTAGCATAATATTCTGAAGGTCCATCCATGTTCCTAGGCTCATGTTCTTCCACTTTATATATCTTGTAGGCTTCAGCATCTGGAGGTCCTTGGCACTGGATAGTCACTGGTGTATTATATAGAACCATGGATCCAGGCTGAGCTGTGATAACAGGTGGGGGAAGATTTCCTAGAAAAAAGGTAATAAATTTACAGGTATGTCTGCTTCTCATGCCACCATCCACTTCCTCCCCTTTTACAGCCACGAGTTTAAATGCCAAGACCCCTCTTTCCAGCTCCCAAGAGAGCTGATATTTCATCAACCTCTACTCAACCATTGATCATTAAAAGAATATTCAGTGGAGAGAAACCAAGATGGCGGCCTAGGTAAGCACCTAAGCTGCTGCTTCACACAACAATTTCAAAACAACAACTAAAAGACAGAACGGACATCATCCAAAACCACAGGAAAGCTGGCAGAGTGGGAAATCTATAAACTAGAAAGAAGGAGAGAGGCTCTCGGATCAGGGGAGCCGCAAAGCGTTGAGGTAGGGGGACACTTGTGTGCAGAGGAGAAGGGTGGCTGAGTGCCTGGCTGGTGGGAAGGGAAAGGAAGTCCCCGGTTGCACTGAACCCTTTCTGACTGCACAGAAACTCAACCCCAGCTGAAATCCCATGGACCTAGGCTCACACAGGTGGAGTCTGGAGTGTAGAGAAAGGCGCCCGGAGACTCAGAGACTGGGAGACTGGGGAAGCCAGAAGCCACAGTGGGCAGGGTCTACAGTTGCGTGTGAGAGAGTGCGTGCAGAGAGGTCTGACTGAGGAGATTGCCGCAGCCGCTCCATAGCAGGAGGAGTCAGAAGCTCCAGACTACAGAGACTGAACCCAATTCTGGGCGAGCCCCTGGGGCACTCATGTTCTTGTATGTGGAATCTGGATGGTCAGGTCGAAACTCAGGGGATCTGTGGAAGGCAGAGGTCTGAGGTGCTCCCATAAGGGCAGGGCTGATGGGAAGCCAAGACTGTCGGCTGAGCCCTGAGACTCTGCCCCATCCAAGCTGAGCAAATAGGCTTTTGCAATTTTGCAAAAAGTCTGATCCTATAAGACTGTCTCCAATACAGAAGGTATCCCGGAGTAGACACTCACATTCAATTGGCCTGGAGGTCAATTCCTCCCCTGATACCAACAACAATCAAGGTTTAATTACAACAAGGCTGTACACACATCCACAAAGGGGTGCACCAAGAGTGTCCACCTCAGGTAACTGCGGAGGCTGACCCCACTGGGACATATAGGACACCAAACACACAAAGCCACCCTACCAACTCAGGGAAGCAGTGAAAATGCTGAGACAAGGAAATAGATCTCAAACGAAAGAGATGGAGGAGAACAAAAGACTGGATATAGAGTTCAAAACCACAGTTATAAGGTTTTTCAAGATTTTCCTAGAAAAGGCTG